GGTTACAAACCTCAAGTCGTGTCCTAGTGTTTAATAGTTTTACTTCTTGATTTGTTCTTGAAACTTTTCATGATCTTTAGACTCCCATTGACCTCCTGGCATATTAGATTCTCTTATAAAGAAACATTTCTTGACTAAACAAATATCCAAGAGTTAGTGTGTGTCTATATCAAGACAAAACCTACACACAATTTGGTACTAGTTGGTCTTTGTCTTATTCAAGACATCACAACTTACCAAAATATGCAAGTGTAAGAACATTCCTACTTAAGATTATGCCACTCAAGTCACAATCTTGGAGTATGACTCTAAGACTTGATTTTGGAACGAAGTACGATACATCTTATTGACTTAACCACCACAACAATTATCCATTCCTCTTCTTAGCCAAACTAGTGCACTAAGGTTTCCTTAGATGATGAATTATAATATGGTTCCTACGATTACCAAGACGATCATAAAACACGATATAAAAGTACTTTCCCTTCTTCTTAGATTGGAAAAACTTTCAATCTTTTTGCCTTCGTTGACTTTACTTATTCGTTCTGCCATTCATTGAAACTTTTCAATGATTCAGAAATACATTTAATCTTGTAAGTATAACCACATTTACTAGACTTTTAGTAAATCATGACGAATAATATTATTATTATTTATGGTGGACTCAACTAGTGCACAATATTGTGTACTAGTTCCTTTAGTTCTTCACTTGACTCACATACTTATGTAAACAAGGAATTAGTCTTAATTACTTAAGTACCAAGATGTCCATACATCACACAATACAAGTTGTATCATTCCAAGTTTATGTCCAATTGAAACTTGGGCGATGGGAATCTTTCCTTACTTAGAAAATTCTGACACTGCCATAAATAACATAACTAAGAATCACTTCCATTTCAACATTACTAATAATAGAAGTACACAAACATCAACTTTTCATACATGTCATTGCAAGGATAAATAAATAAGACAAAATCAAAATTTATTTTATTGCGGAAAAATTTGTCCTTACAACGCAACTCAAATGAAAAAATATGCTATTACATTTCTTAGCAATCTACTCTAAAGCAGCAGCTCGAAAATCCGATCTTCGAATACATGCGATCGAAATCCATTTCTTCACGATCAGATTCAGCATGCTTCTTCCTTTAAGCTTCCTCTCTTTATTCGATCCATCAAAAAAATGTAATCTTATCACATAATGTATCAAGAATCAAAAATAGGAACTTATAGAGTTAGTTAATGGATTTTACCTGAAGTAGAGTCATACATCTTGACTCTCCCATCTCTTAGATCTCTCAGGTAGACATGACAGTTTTGTCTCCAATATGCCCCTTCTCTTGGCAATAAAAGCAAATTGACTCTTTTGGAACAGCACATGGAACTATTTCATACTTTGCCTTTTTCTTATGATCAAATTTTTCGACCATGGCATGCCTTTCATTGCCATCGCCTATGTCCATGGAGGCTTGGAAGGCAGATCCACTAATCAACTATGTGGTCTAATTTAATAAATTACACTTTTAATTTAATTAAATGTAAAGCATATCACTATGGATTTATTAACTTTTAATTTTCAAAAATTAGGTTTTTAGAATTTAACATTTTAAAATCAAACTTTTAATTAAAATTTAAATTCCAAAACTTGAAGGAAAGTTTTGAAACCTTTCAAAACAATTAGGTTAACTATTTAAATTTCAAAACTAAAACTTTTAAGTTCAAATTTAAACTATAAAACTTAAGGGTTTAAATTGAAACTTTTCAATGTAACTAGGTTAAATATTTAACTTATAATAATCCTATATTATCCATATTTAACCAAATCCATCAATTTTGATGAAGATAATCATTCCAAACTTAAAAAATCGGATTTAAGCAAGAAAAACGAGTTTTGGCAATTATCCTCAACAGAATCTGGTAGAAAAATCAAAAATCCCAGCATCAGAACAAGAAACTCATCGAGTTGTGCTCTGAACTCGTCAAGTTCACCCAACTCGTTATGTTTATATAGAACTCGTCGAGTTCATGCTCCAGACAGCAAAAAATTTCGATTTCCTAATCTTTTAGAGTTCGCAATTGCATCAATTCATTATACAAACAGTGTAGGCTCTGATACCACTGATGGGAATTGAGCACTACATCAATCATATGGTGTACATGCAAACCCTAAAGATTTGGATCTAGTTTGTCTAATGAATATGCAATAATCACCCAAAGCTCATAAACCCTAGATCTAGCATATGTATATCGAAATTAACATGTAAGAAAAGATCTAGATGAATACCTCTTATAGAATGGCTTGAATCTCGTGTCCTTGGAGCTTAGAGTCACAAATGTCACTCCTCTAATGGTTTACAAACACCATAAGCAAGAGGAGGATATTGGAAAGAGGAGAGGATCACCAAAACCATCCAAGATCTCTACCAGAAGACTTAGCCACATTTTTGGGATCCTTAGGGGTCTATTTATACTTGTGTGAGCTACTAGGGTTTCAGGAGAAACCCTAATTCTCTTCTTAGGCCTTAAGCAACCCATGGAACCTTTCTAGAAGGCCCTTGGACGAAAATCATATGGGCTTCCCATATATGATATAAAATGACGTAGTATGGTGGGTTTGGGTATCTAAACTTATATACCTTGCAGAGAAAAGTCATTTTTCCATATATATATATATATATATATATATATATATATATATATATATATATATATATACTTCTAAGAAATTGATTCTTAAGTGTATATCAAGCATGAGACTTGTTAAGAAAATGTAATTCTTAAGCATATGAATAATATAGAATAAGTCACAACAGTTCATTCTTAATTATAAAGGTTTATTCTTAATCATTCTCATGCTAAAGAAAAAAAAAACATTTTTCAATGGAAGAGGAATAGAAAGTTGCAAGTATATTGTGTGTATATGTATTTGTATCCTTATAAATAGTTTAATTTTATAAACTAATTGATTTTTTTGTTTTATTTACAATCATGTCATTAAAGATCACAACTTTAGATTTCTTTTTTGATCCAATGGTCCATGATTGGTCATACATTCATAATATTTGTAATTTACATTTAATCCATAAATAAATTAGGCCAAAATGATCAAATCCATTATTTGAAGGTGATTGAACTCTAACCAAAGAAATCAAGCGAAACATACAGACCAAATTTGCAATTTTCTCTTTTTATTATATATTTTAGGGTTAGGTGTGAGATCCTGATACTATACGGGTTGATTAAAAAAATGTAAATATTAAATATTTTTTTAAAGTAAAATTTGGAATAAATACAAACGAAATGATGAATAAGTAGATATGTCAATCTATACGGTTGATAAAGTAATTCATATTCGAAAGTAATTACTTGATCATAATGACATTTATACCCTTCAACACACTGCAACAAAAGGGACAAAATTTGTATAACTAAGACGCACGGAACTCACACCACTTGTTGAAGCAACTTATGGTGTATTCAAACCACCATGCTAATGCATAATAGTACAATGACCAGGCCCCAAGAAAATACTTAAACATTAATAAATATGACAACAAAGCAACTACCAAGACCTATGAATTTTTCTGAATTCACCAGCACCCATTCAGCAACAACTTGGATATTGAGGAAAAGTTTCATAAATACATTGCACTTTAACTTATTCCGTTTTCACACCTTTATATTAGGTATTTTTTTTAGTTTTTAAAGTAAAGTCACATTTTCATGCGTCTTGATTGAGTAGCTATTTTTTTAGTTTTTAAAGTAAAGTCACATTTTCACGCATCTTGATTGAGTAGCTATTTTTTTAGGTTTTAAAGTAAAAAACTACTATTATATAAATGCTTAATTTACATTGATTAAAAAAATGTCATTATATATAATCAATGTTTAAATATAAAAATTTATAAAAATAACATATTATGTTTTGTTGATATCAAATTAATTGAACAACTAAAAAATTAAGAACAATAGTAATTAATAATATAGATATTAAAAAACAAAAAATAAAATAGAGTCATAATTCAAATTTATATTTATATATGTAAACTAAATTTTAGTAAATCTTGATGGATACAAGTTGTTGTTTGTCAATATGATCCGTAAAACACAAGTTAATGTCAAAATGTATAATGTTTTTTTTGTATATATATATAATTATTTTTTTTAAATATAATTAGAAATAAAATAATTAGCACGCTTTGTTTACAAAGTATCATTAAAGATGTTTGATTTCATGTGACTTGATTGATTCAAACCTTAATAATAATAAAACTAATTTTCAATTTTAGGAATTTATCTCGTTTATTTAAGAGTTTTGATTTTCAAAAGCCACAAATTTTTTTATAGTTCAAATATGTATTTTAAATAATTTGTTTTTTCTTTTTTGTTCCAAACCTAAAATATAGGGATTCATACTATATATGTTAATATATATTAATTAATATATTAATAAAATTAATTAATATGAGGTGACATTTAATATGTAACATTTGAATTAAAAAAATAACAAGTGAAAAAAAATTCTAAAGTTCCGAAAAATAATGTGTGAAATTCAATGAAAAGTTTATATTTAGCAAAAATAATATTTATTTATTAAGATATACTATTTTTTTTTATAAAGATAGTTAGAATAAATAGAAACATTCGTATTTGAACATGTTTCGGCGACAAAAGGGATTAGGGTCTAGGGGTTATCTTTGGAAATGAATAACCATAAAGTTATTGATGTAAACTAGATATAGATTAGACATATGATACTTGTATATAATGTAGTATAGAAAATATTTTCTTTGTTCCCTAATCTTATTATATAACCGGATAAATAAGACAAAACCATAAATTCAATTTGTTAGTTTTGTTCATGTGATAGTGAGGAGACAACTCATTCCAAAGTCATCCCTTTCTTCCAACTTTAAAGATTTCTTGAATACAAAGCTTGGAACCCTAATTTTGATTATATAAACTATGCATCTTTCCTAAAATCCAAATAACACGTACACACATGAACATAAAAATTTACGATTCTTGAATTTCTTACGATCCTTTTAAACATGTTGATATATTCTTCTTCTGAAGCAGAAGACTCCAACGATCATAATGTTCCAACTACCAAATTGTTTGGTCGTGAAAGATCTGTACATTCCTTACTTGGTGGAGGACATGGTATCTCTAAAAAACTTGTTATTTCAATAATGTATTAAGTTTTTTTTTTTAATATACATTGACAACCATATATTGAGATTAAATTTGAAGTTATTTTATTGACATTATGTATCAAAATAATGAAACCTCTTGTGATTAACAAGATGGGTTTGCTAAATTAATGTTGCGTTTAATTGATTTATGTCGCAGTTGCAAACTTACTTTTATGGAGAAACAAAAGCTTGTCAGCAGCAATTCTGCTAGGAATTACGATGATCTGGTTTCTCTTTGAAGTTGTTGAGTACAACTTTGTTTCTTTAATCTGTCACATCTCGATCCTTGTCATGTTGATCGTCTTTCTCACATACACAGCAGCAAAATTCGCGAATTGGTAATGTTTTTTTACACCTTATACAGATTTCCAAAAAGGAGAAATAATTTTATAAAATAACTTGTTTTTAATTTGTACTATATAGGGATCTTCCTGATATACATGAGATAACGATACAAGAATCTGTATTCAGATGGTTGTATAGGAAAGTAAATTGGGTGTTACTCCGATTCTATGAGATCTCAAGCGGGGAAAATTTCATTGAGTTTTTCTTGGTACGCATTTAAACTATGTTTCTTTACTCTAATATTAATTATTCTTGAAGAAGTTTTCAAATATGATCGTCTTGTAGGTGATCGGATCTTTATGGATGATTTCAGTTCTTGGCAGTTATTTCAGTTCTTTGAATCTCTTGTTCTTCTGTAAGTTCCAATTATTATATATGGTTTTTAGCTCAAAAACCCGATGGATTTTGATCTTATATATGTTTGGGTTGCATTCTCTATGTCTATGTAGGTTTTATTTGTCTTGGAACTTTACCGGTATTGTATGAACAATATGAGCGAGAAGTTGATCGCCTCATACGCAAAGGGAGCAAAGATGCAAAAAAGGTGTTGAAGAAATTTGATTCCAAAGTGCTAAACAAGATCCCAAGAGGACCAGTTAAGGACAAGAAGCGCAAATAAATGTTAAATACTTTTATCTTCAAATTCAAAAGACATGTATGTAGTAGTAATGTTGTATACTTGTATATATCTCGAGAAAGCTTATATATACCATAAAAATTAACTTGTTGGAATCGTATTATCTTTATTGGATCATTCTAACGTGGTTGAGTGTTTACTGAACAAACAAATGTGAAATCTCACAACCAGAACTACATAAAATTGAACCTGTTTCATATTCTTTACGCCTCTTAACATCAAATAATTGTATTGTGGTCTATTTAGCAAACAAATGTAACATATCAAACTTCTATCCAACAGTGTGGAAGGCATTCATTGACCTATGTTGAAATCGTTAGAAACTTAAACATTTAGGGCTTTAGTCTTAATAAAGTAGAGCTATGAAGAGGGTGGCGATCTTTATTCTTTACAACTATCACACATAATACTATAAACAGATATAAAAGATATACAATATATTTTATGTTGTATTAAAAAAAACAAAAATGCATAAATTATTTATTAAGCAATTTCACGAGGCACGTCCAAACACCAAATAGGATATTTTGGTACTTGCAAGCAATGCCAAATACTCAACTCACTCAACATCAAGAAATTGATTTCTCATGTTTAAATTAAAAACAACACTTTGCTTGACAGATTAATTAACTTGTACAATATTTTTGGCATGAATTATGATACAACATGAACATTGATCTTACTATATATTTTTCATTCACAAACTATCTATCTACATTCTGGATACACTTCATAATAATATCATTTTTCAATTTCATCATAACTACTCAGAAACTCCACAACACATGGATACACTTCATTAACCGCCTGCATTCATTCAAATTCAAACCACACACCATTTATACATTTTCAACTAAATTACATCTTTGGTCCCTGCGTATACCTGATTTTCACAATTTTGGTCCTCATCTCAAATAACAACCAGAATTGCAAAGATCAGCTATACTCAGGGACCAAATATGTAATTTACTCTATATCACAAACAAGATTGAAAACAGAGAAGGTAGAAGGTATTACCAGTCGCCCCCCAACCAGATCATAATGCGCATAATGCGGGCCATCCGGTTCACCAAATAATTTATAACTAACCAAACCCTCAGGAATCAGCTTCGCTGTTTCTGTTAATTCAATAACATTATCAAATATCAATGAAGGGTAGAAACCGCCATTTTTTCAAAAGTACAAGGGTAGTTTCGAAACATATATACAACTTACCCTGTACAGCTTCAGGGGGGCATATTGCATCTAGATCCCCTGCAATGGCCAACACAGGGACATTGATTTTATGAATATGATCTTTATAAAAAAATTTCCCACTTCTGTCACACAAACCACCCTCACGAAACGCTGATGTCAGCTGCAGCAACAGTTTAGCAGGTATCGTACCTTCAACAAATTCAAAAATCTCATTAAATTATTTATTATTACTATAAACAATATCATACAAAATACGATATGCTTACAGAAATTGTTTAACACTAGCTTTTTCAACAACTCTGGATGCATCATGTCTTGTGCTGATATCATATGATTAAGCCATGATAAAACATAAGGAGGACGCGATGTTAGAGGATATGCAGCTGTTAACATTGCTCCTAAAGGAACAATAGGCACATTCAGCACCTGTGCGGGGTCCGCCTACATAAACAAATAAATAAATTATAATCTAGTCATATGTAAAAAAGTAAATCACAAGATATATTTACTTACAAGTGGTAATAGTAATTTTAGTGTTGATTTTGAAGAAGTGTAATCAAGTGAAGATGCCAAAGTAACAATAGCAGCCAACCCTGGTTCCTTTCCTTCAGCGCCTTTAGAATGAGAATTAAATACATTTTAAATTTTGGTTTAAGAAAAAACTAAAAGGGCAAAATCGTAAATAATATTAATATTTACCGAATCGTGATAGCATGGAATATAGTAAAATGCCACCCATGGAGTGTCCTACAGCAACCAATTTACCATCTTCGGGTTTAGTATGCGCTTTTATATATTCCATCTGTTGTTAGAATTTAGAAAGAAGATTTGTTTAATAGTATATCTGTAGATACGAAAGGGTAAAATGGGAAATTTTATATTAATGTCACCTCACCGCAGCAGGAACGTCTTCTTCAAGGTAATGATCGAAGTCCCAATCGTATTTGACAATCATGTCCAACTGTTTCTGGAAGTCTTCCATGGTTGTGGTCAAACGTTCTTGAAGGTCAAACAATGGTGGTGAAACAGAACGTTGACCTTCTTCGATAATATTGATTAGTTTTTGACTCATGTCTTGTATTTGACTTGCAACAGTTGAGGTTTGTTTTAATTCCAATAAACCTAAAATGTTTTTCTTTATTTCGTTAAAACGTTCTGCTAGGAAAGAATCGCCTATGAGTTTTGAAAATTGGTCAAATAATTTAGCAGAGATTAGTCTTGATTGACCTTCACTTAGGAAGCCGGATACTCTATCTGATAGGGTTATCAGGGTTTCCGTTAACTTAGTGACAAGTATTGATTCCTCCCATACCGTTGGTAATTCCACTGGAATCTCTGATTCCACTGGAATCTCTGATTCCACTGGAATCTCTGATTCCACTGGAATCTCTGATTCCACTGGAATCTCTGATTCCACTGGAATCTGTGATTCCACTGGAATATGTGATTCCGTTGTATTGGTAGATGGAGACTGTGAAGCAGATAGAACGGTTTCTGCTCCGGAAACAGCAACGGCTTCCATCTGGTTGGATATTGCGTGTGCTGACTGTTCGATGTCTTTGGGGTGGGACCCGTGCATGCTTAAGCCAGCTCCTCGAACCTCGAGAATCCAGGTGTCGAATCCTTGTTCACACATGTATCGAGCAAATGAAGACTACAAGCAAACAGTGTAATTTCTCAATCTCCTAGAATCTAATAATCTATCCTCATTACATAAAGAATGAAGGTAACTACCACATTTCCTCTTTATAATCTCATCTTTCACTAGAAGTTGATTGTTTTACTATGTCCCTTTTGCTTCACTCTCTGGTTTTGGTAGCTTGTAGATTCCATTTTCCCCTTCTTTTGTATCCAAACTCCTAGAATCTATCATCAGTTGTTACTATTCACTAAGAACTAGCAGACAACTTATTAATGTTTGCCTCACTCATCTATGCTCACCTTTTTTACCCTTGACTGATATAAAATTAAAGATGTACGGTATATGATCGTAGATAAGAGAAAGAAGGAGAGAGAATCGAACTCACCTCAGGTGAGAGATCGTACCCTATCGCATTTGTTCCCACCCCTGATAACAACAATAGTGGATGCTTTCTCGATTTAGCCTGTAATAACTAACATATGTAAATCAAAGATATACAGACATTGCAGTTAACGAATAACAGAGTAAGCAAAATACGAAATCAGAAGTCAGATATAACTAAGATTCGTCTCCATTAACAAGTTACCTGCGGAGAAGGATGGTATCTCCATAAAGCAAGTCTCCAGTCGGAATTATTGACAGAAACATAGTGTAGCTCGTCAGCAGTACAAATCGGAGGCTTATTAGAAACCTTCTCGCCACTAATTGAGATCTCGGATTCCGTCTCATCAGAAGAGAAAGCCCTAACTCTAACAACCGATGTCAACCGAAGCGATGGCAACGGAGGAAGACGGCGGAAGGGAAGTTGAAAGCAGACGCGGCGGAGGGCGGCGGATGATGGCGATGCCATTTGGAGAGGGGTAGGAACGACGGTGTTGTGCGATTGAAAGTGGATGATCGCCGACATAGTCATTTTTAGAGGTTTGTAATTGGGGAAAATGAAAATGGAAAAAAATTAGATAAAGCTTGAGTGATTGCGTGTCATGGAGTCAAAGGGTAGTTGTGGCGGTGGCAGCCGGGAGGAAGATGATGGATCTGAAGAAAGCGAAACTATTAATCCCCACGTGCTACTCCCAGAGCAGGGCATGCACGGTTTGACTCTATCTGTCATATGCATCAACAGATCTCTGGTCGAGCTTGCTTGTGAACTTCGAAAATTTTAACCCAAAAGAAAAAAAAAAAAAAAAAAAAAAAAAAACCAAAATGTGGAAAATTTTGGAATGAAATGTTTGATAGAGATACATGGTTTAATTAAAAATATATATATATAAAATTTTAATAATTTGAAAAGTTTAAATTTACAAGAAAAATGAAAAAAAAAATTAAATTATTAAAATTAATGAGAGTTTAATATATTGAATACATTATCTATATAAACTTTTTCTAATAAATACTATACATATATTACCTTACATATTAAATATGGAATTTTAATTTAATAAAATAAAAAATACAATAAAATAACAAGTAAAAAATATAATTTTAAAAATTCTAAAAAATGTCATGTGTCCAAATGAATAAGAAGAAGACATGTGACAAAAAAAACCTTCATTTATTATAGTAGATAGAGGTTATAGTCGGTAAACTAAATGAGATTGAATTCTTTTTATTTATTTATTATTTTTTTTTTTTGAGCTATTCACTATGGGATATATGTTTATATGACTTTTTTTTATCACAAAGGACCATGCAAATTGTCAAAAAATATAGTGAATTCACGAAGTTATTTTTTCTAACAATGTAAGACAGCCGTGAATTAGCGAACATACTAAAACTTGCGCATAACTCGTAAGGAATATATAATTTTCACGAATAAACTTAAAAGTGCGAATTATTATTATTACTACCACCAGGCCATAAATAACCGTTTTGTCATTTAAAGTCGTTGGATCGTTTTAACTTTTAATCTCAGCGGCACAAACTTCTTATTTACGGTTAATTATGGTAGTTTTTTGCTTCCACAGACATCGCACACAACGGTAGTTCTCCTTCTCCCATGTTCAGCATCTTCTTGCTTCCTCCTTCACGCATCATGATCGGTTATCGGTTGAAGCAACCACGATCCACTCTTCTATAATCTTCCTTCAAGAACTTCAACTCCTCCCCCTCCACCACTTCATATTCAACCGTTCACACTTTATTCCCCACATTCAGTTTTCTACCCATTATCCTTCAACTCCTCACAGTTGGTTTATCGATTTCACAGCCTCCTTCCAAGAGTGTTTTAGTTATGGCACGTTAATTCCAGAAGTTTCGCCCACGTCTCCTTCCGTCTTCATAAGCTCTCACCACTTCTTCAACTTCCATCTTCAACTCTTCTTACAGATGCCCACGTTGCTTCTATGCTTCTTATTCGCTAACTGCTACAAGCACGTTGTACAAATCGACCTATTTAATGATCGTTCGATGTTTAATGTTTCTATCTTTCAATTGGTAAAAAGAATTGCTTCATCAATTTGATGGTATGGATTCCAATTCGTTTTATATTTGTTCACCTAAGGTAAAATTATTGACTCCCGAAACTACTTCCTTCTTCTTATACTATATATACTTTGATTGGTAAATAGAAGATTGATTCGGTTTCTCTCTCCCTCCTTCATCGCCTTTATCTTTCAGGTATGTTTTGATGTGAAGGGTTATCTTTGACTATTGTTTGTTGATTCCACACCTTTTTTGGTGTAACATCCCGGAATCGCAAGAGTAGAGTTGAAGGGCTAAAAGTGTAAGTTTCGGAGGGTGACTCGGCGAGTCAAGTCGCGACTATGGTCGCGTGTCAAGTGGCCTACTCGGCGAGTCCAAAGATGGACTCGGCGAGTAGGTGTTGTATGGAGAAAACCCTAATTTTCGGGGTTGAGCCCTATATAAAGAGCATTATGCCCCTCCACAGCCTCCCTTATTCCCCCCTTGAGTCCCAGAAACCCTAGATTCGTTGAGAGTCCCTTTGTGGAGGAAATTAGAGCTTGGAGAGGTGTTGGTTGAAGAAATCTTGAAGGAGAAGTGGCTTGGATCAAAGGGCTTTGCTTGGATTCGAGTTTCATTGCTGTTGAGGCATCCTTTGGAGGTAATACTTTCGTTCTTGGGCTGTATTTGTCACACCCCCAAACCAAGGATGGCGGAAACGTCTGGGGGTGGAGGACTTCATGTAGAGTATCACAACAATGAGTATAATAGTGCTCAAAGTAAATACAACCAACACAAATATAATTGAAAACGTTACATCAAAGCACATGTTTACATGATTCACATCAATTACATTATAATACAAAATGAACTATTTGACGATTTATCGTCCCATCCTCAAAACGTTGTTGATTTCCTGTTTTCACTGAATTCCTGAGAATACAAGTAGTTTTGAAAAGTGTCAACACAGAGGTTGGTGAGTTCATAAGAGATTTCGTTGGAAAAGTAAATCGTTTTCCTTGTAAAAGCGTTAGAATATGTATCCAGAAAATCCGATATTTTCTTTAAAATCTGCGTAATTTAGTCTTATGACTGAAGACCGAAATGTATAAGTAACCTTTCTTATTAATAGAAAATGTTATGTACTTAAATGGACATGGACGCGTTTGAATTAAATGAAATTTCTGTATGTTCTCATGTTCGTTAATACTTTATATATATGTAGTCCTAAATTAGAGGACCGAGAAATAACAAGTATTGACCATACTTAAAAGTATAAATGTGGTTTCAAATGATGTGTAGTCGTAACTACCAAAACCAAAAGTGTACAGTAATATCTGTACTCATAGAGATAAAAAGTGATTTTAACTCGACATAAAACTCATTTAGGTTTTAAAAATAAAATCCTGTAAACTTATGGATTGTTATATCCCTATGTGAGTCGCTATAATCATACTATGACTATGTAAACCTGCCACGACGTTCTCAGGTGTCGCGAAAAATAAAATGACATTTGTCACCCGTAGACCTGCAGGTCCAACTGTAGCTAGCAGCAAGGTGTGGGGTGTCAAACCCAATATAGATCTATATACAAGTATCATGTTCTCCTTCAAGGAGATTCTGATTATAACTACCAGGAATTATATCCCGCACTTGGACGTACGGGGAGAGAGAGAGAGAGAGATAGAGAGAGAGAGAGAGAGAGTCTCACAATATAGGTTAACAAGTTTACGTGAAATGTGTGTGAATATAAATTTTTCTTGTATGAATGTACCCTTTTTGTACGAGTGTGTTGAGTGATGTATCGTAAACTATACCTATTATAGTTTATCTAAAATGTATGTAATATGTATGAACTCTTTTATGGAAATGTATTAGTGTTATGAATTTATCAAACTATAGGTTAACAAATTTACGTGAAATGTGTGTGAATATAAATCTTTCTTGTATGAATGTACCCTTTTTGTACGAGTGCGTTGAGTGATGTATCATAAACTATACCTATTATAGTTTATCTAAAATGTATGTAATATGTATGAACTCTTTTATGGAAATGTATTAGTGTTATGAATTTATCAAACTATACTTTTTATAGTTTAATATACGTGTTCTAAAATGAATGAATAATATTTATTATGAATGACTTAGTTTCAGTTCATGATGATAAACTAACAAAGAAACACATTCAATAATTAGAACTTATGATTATACACTTTGCTCAACATATTACAAAGTGTTATGATATTTACATGTTGTTGGCTAAATTTAGTCATTCTGCCCTGTTTTGGAAAAATCATAGAAAAATCATACGAAGTCGAAAACTAGATCCGTAAATTCTGAGAGTTCACAAAATGTGTCTAGTTTACTCATAATTTTTATCACGATTTTTAATGACCTCCAACTTGGGTGAAAAAGTCCATAATCACAGATTGGTCCGGATTGTTGGTTGAAATGATAGGCAGTTTTGTAAAAATCACCATAAATTGTAGAAAAATCGTATGGAGATGTGCAAGTAGTCATTTTAAAGCTAAAAACTTGAACTATTTGCACCTTGTACAGTTTTGAAAACAAAAATGTTTAAGATGCCCAAACCAGTCCGTGAATGGAGTTGAACTTTTCTGATGAAGGCTGTTAGAAAATTTTAGTTATGTTCTTAGTGTTTTAACTTGTATTCCCCCCCCCCCCTCCCCTGAAAACTTGAGAAAACATGAAAATGTAGGGGTATGAACTCACCTTGAGTGATTTCAGTAGATAGATGATGGAGAGAAGGGGTGTTCAACTCAAGAACACTAGGGAAGATTGCTTGAAGATTTGAAGATCTAACACAAATATGATGGAGTTTGTGTAAGATATCCATGGTTTGAGTGGAAATAAGTGAGATAATCATAAGGAGAATGGATTATGCTTACCAAATGTTGAAGAACACTTGATAATCAGCCTTGAATCTCGAGTTTGGTGGAGAAAGAGTTTGAGAGAATAGTGGTATTTGATACTTAGTGAAATGAGAGCAAATGAGAGAAATGAGGAGAGACGATGTTTGTTCCAGCTCTAAAAACGTGGGAATGAGTGTAATTTGAGTTTAAGGGACATTGAAGTGACTTAGGTAAGGTGGGGAGGTGTGGTTAGTCAAAGAGTGGGTGTGGGGTGGTTGCTTGTGACATTGGATAAGGCAAAGTCAACACTCCACCTTTAATAATTCACCCATTTGATTTTTATTATTTAAATAATGATTTTCATCAAAATATGTTTAAATTATGAATATTTAGAGTTTATTATGTTAAAATATAATTTCTGGAGAAAATCCGGCTTTAAAATCACGAAAAACGGGCTTAAAATGTTAAAAATATCAAAAATGGGCTAAAAGTGACAAATTTCCGAATTCTGGCCGAGGTTCGGCCTTCTGATGTTGAAACCGAGAGGAGGGAGGGTAGAAACCGAGAGGGGAGAAGGGAGAGAGCAGGAACCGAGAGTGGAGAAGAGAGAGGAGAGGAACCGAGAGGGAAGAAGAGAACAGAGAGGCGGGTAGAGGCAGAGAGGAGAGAAGGAGCAGAGACCGAGAGTAGGGAAGAGACAGAGAGGGAAGAAACGACAGAGAGGAGAGGAAGCGACAGAGAGGCGGAAGGCGGACAGAGAGTGCGAGAAGCGAACAGAGGCAGAGGCTCGGTTCTCGCGTGCCACAGCCAACAGAGGCTCGGTCCTCGCGTGCCACAGCCAACAGAGG